TTTTTTAAAAAAATTAAAATGTCACGTGGTGCCTCTATCAACTACTACCTCATCACTAGCAACAATCATCGGCCACCTCCATGTGTTACCACCTCATCTCCAAGTGTCGCTGCCACCATCGCTAATATGATTTTTTTAAAAAATTAAAATGCCACGTGGTGCCTCTACCAACTGCCACCTCATCACTGGCAACAATCGTCAGCCACCTCCATGTGTCACTACCTCATCTCCAAGTGTCGCTGCCACCTCACCTCTACCTGAGTGGTGTTGCCATCTCGCATGCCACCTTATATCGCCACGGCTTGAACCAAGGACCTCGTCTGTGATGTGTGCGGTTTTACCAGTTGAGCTACAATGAACTTATTGACTTATTATGTAAAATTAAATATATATATATAATATTCTCTTACACAAAGAATTATATATACACATATATATTATTAGAAACTAAAAATAAACTATACGATAATTTTAATCATAACCATTTTTTGACAAAATAATTTTTAGATATTTGTTTTACTATTTATTTTATAATGCTTTATTTTTTTAAAAAAATATTTTTAATATAATATTAATTTCTAGTGACACTAATTTTGAATTTTAAATCGTAAATAATTTTTTCATAAATATATTTTTTAAATTTAATTTTTTATTTAACATTCATAAGATATATAATTTAATTATACATTTATTATATAATATTATATTTTATTATCTATATTTGTTTTATATATTTGATGAAAATAATTTTATAATCAGTAAAAAAATCTTTTTATTAAAAAAAAAGCTACCACAATAAAATCTAATAGATTATTCTATATAAAAAAATTAAATGATTTGAATGGATTATGTAAACAATATTATCCTATTTATATATGTATTTCACATAATTTATTTTCTTAAAATTTTTTCTATACACCATTTTTTTTTGCGTTGAAGATTAAAATCAATCTATATTATGAGTATTAATTATGTCATGATCAAATTTCATTGTTTAATGATTGAAATTCAAAGTTCACTTCAACATTAGTTTAATTTATAATCATAAATTGAGATATTCATATAAATTTATTTTTTGGTTTTGAATTTCTATCATATATTTTATCTTTCAATATATTGTACATATAATAGAATTATTTCTTTCTTGTATCAATTTGCATAAGAAAGTTATTAATATTCTTATCATATTTGTTTAATTATTAATAATAATAAAAAGGAATTGATTTTAATGAAATATAAAGAAATTTTTTAAGAAATTGTCTTCCAATTCTCAGTATATATTTAATGAAAAGATAAATGATAATGATATCTTCATTAACACTATATCAATTTATTTTATAATTGAAAATATATTTAAATTATTATATTCTTAATTATATTATTATATAAACTGTTGTAAGATTATAATCTAAAATAATGAAATTTAAAATTAGTAACGGATTAGAGACAGAATTAGCCATGAAATTTTTATTGACAAACAATTTAGGGACGGAATTTTTTCCATCAGAAATTTCTGTGGTTAATTCCATGACTAAAATTTTGTAATTAAAATTTATGATGGAATTTTTTTCGTCAGAAATTTCTATCGCTAATTCCATGGCTAAAATTTTATAATTAAAATTTGTGACGGAATTAGCGACAGAATTTTTTCTGTTAGAAATTTTCATCACTAATTTCGTCACAAATTTTAATTATACAATTTTAGCCACGAAATTAGTGACGAAAATTTTTGACGGAAAAAATTCTGTTGCTAATTCCATGACTAAATATTTACTGATAAATTTATCAACAGATTAGTGATAGAATTTAGAGATAGAATTTTTTTTCGTCACTAATACGTGGCTAATTTTAGCAACGGAAAGCGATGAAAAATTTCTATCGCTAATCCATTACCAAATTTAGTGATAAAATTTTTGTCAGTAATTAGCTGTTTTTTTGTAATGATATAAAGTAATCAAGACTTCTACGAGGAAGAAACTCATATATTAATAGCCGTTCTTTTTGTTTCAAGCAAAAACCAACGAGTCCATCTACATTTCGACGCAGAAGTTGGGCCACTAATAACACGTCATTCTTGAACTCTGTCTCCTTGCCCAGAATTCCCAGGCAATCTTTTCACTGCAGTTGATGTCTTGTCCATTGGAGTGCCTACCCTGAAGTCACCAGGACGCATCAGTATTCAATGTTAGACAATACACACACGAACGGACCCTTCAACATGAGCTTTATCTCTCTCTTTACCCCGTAAACTTGCCCAAATCCACCTTCTCATTTCATTTGAGAAGTTATCATTACGCAGCAGCTTTGATGGTCTCAAGTGCACATTGTATTGATTCAGCAAGTTCAATTGCACTGTCAACTTTCAGATTCATCTAGAAAAAGAATTTAAGCTAGTTCCTTAGATAAAATTTAAATGGGCTAATAATTGTTCGTAATGTATCAAGATCAACTTTTGCATGAGAGAATAAATGAAATACAGAAAAAAAAGGGGGGAAAGTGAATAATGGATTTGAGTTCCCAGATGTCCAGCAGGAAAAACGGAAGGCAAAATACAGAAAAAACAAAGAGGGGAAAGTGAATAATGGATTTGAGTTCCCAGATGTCCAGCAGGAAAAATGGAAGGCACAAGCATAAAAGAAAAGGTGAATCCCATCTCCAGAAGCTTCATAGTTACAATAGCTTACTTTGACATAGAACGTCGAGTAGCTCTCACTTTCCTCCTCTTTCTATCTCTTTTCAAAAGCTGCAAGAAATTTAACCATGTTTTGATTTACATTTAGATGGTTTGCGATCACAGAATATGCAAGCTTACTTTGATTACGTCTTCTTCGGTTCATTCTTGCTCGTACAAAGATCCAAACAATATAAAGCAGCACAATAGAGGCAAGAATTGGCACAACTATGGTGACAACCTGTTAGTAATGTCTTGATCTTTCCTGAAAAGAAGTTTCCATGAAAAGTCCCTAAGAACATTAAATCTTAAAGCCTGGTATGATATACTGGTATCTTTTAAAATATGCATCCTTTCCTTCCATAGATGGAAAGAGAAGCCCCACCAGAAAGTTATCGTTTGAGGAGACGGAGATTAAAGAGAAACAGAGAGTTGAAAGCCGACTTAAAGAAGCAGAACCCAAATCTTCCCTTATCTCTATATCCTTCTAGGAAATGCATAAAAAAGAGAATAATTTTTCACGAGTTTTCAAATTACATCACAATTTCTCCATCAAACTTCATCACATGGCGATGGGACCAAATTTTCGCAGAATAATTTGACTGGCACGCACCTCGAGAGGCTGACGCTGTATAAGAAGGTGTTGGCGAGCCAACAGTTGCGGGATCATAAAACAGGTAATGTCATGATGCCTCCCTCGGATTCTCAGTGTAAGAGAATAAGAGACAGAAGATTTATTTGAACGCGTGAATTAAAAAAATTAATTAAATTAATTATTCACATTATTTTTTTTAAAATATTTTTGTTAATTAAGTACTCTTATATTAGTAACAATTATTATTATTACAAAAAATATTTTGAAAAAATTATAAAAAAGACGTTAAAATATAAAAATTACATATAGGAACCAGTTTATAGAAACTGCTGTCAAAACCTATGTTATTGTTGTCAAAACTCATATTAATACTACTATAGGTCTTTATTTATTATTATTTTTATTTCGATAATCTTTTTTTTAATTTTCCCAAATATTTTTTATAAAAAATAATAAATATAAAAAATAAAAGAAGTTAATATCAAAACAAAAATAAATCTAGCGGCTGTTAAAAGGAACGGAGAATCGGACTCCGCCATCTTTGACATCGAACAATTTGAGTACCATAGTTTCCCATTGCTCCCTTCTGATTTGGACACAACTTTGGGAGAAGAATTGAGGCATTCTTGAGGCAACTACGGCATTCGTCTTGCTTAAACCCACCGCTGCAGAGCCCAACCGCATCAACCCTGTCAGCATTTTGGCCATGAGAGATATTGACGAAGCCAGAGTTGCTGATTTTTGCGTTCGAATTGAGGCGCGAAGGAAGGATATGAAGGTTAGTTTGATTTGTGTTTCCTATTTGTGCAGTGACTTTTCGAATCGTAACAGTGGCTGTGTTGGAAATCGCGTGGGTCGAAGGCACTGAGAAAGGGAAGATGAGAAAGGAGAAAAAAGAGGGTAAAAGAAACTATATAAATTGCCATCTAGAGAGATGACTGGTGGGAAAAAAAAAAGTTGTCATAGCAACTTCAATGGAGAAATGTGTAGTTGCTTCTCTCTTGTAGAATTTTCCCGGGGACTTCGTAGGGATCGTCACCATCATTCACTGAGTGGTTTCTCGGCAGTGAAGTTTCTTTGAGCTTAGGGTGTCGAAGTTTCTAACTTCTTAATCATGTTTGCAGTCGTCTTCTTGCTCTGTTTTTCTGCAGAACAATTGTGGCGCAACGAATATACTGTTAAATTTAGTGTATATGGTTGATATTTTATTATTTTTTATGAAAATTCAAAATTGTGCATGTTTGTGGGTATATATAAAGAAATACAAAAATGAAATTAATACAAGATGAAAAAAAAAACCCGATAAGAAACGAAGTTGAGACTGGGGGATATTATTAGAAAAGGAGGAAATAGAAAAGCGTATCTCAAATCAAGAATAAAAGTTAAATCCTTCAGCTGTCAATTGCATATAGAGGAACCGCAAAAAATTTAGACTAAGTTTTAGTCTTTTAATTTTATACAAGATTTCAATTTAGACATTAAAGAATATTAAAGGAAACTTGGGTGCTAATATTTTGTTTAGATGAGATGAACTAACCAGTTTATTTTAGCTACTACCATAACACGAGAACTCAATATTCATCGATAGTTTGTATGAGCATCTCATTGACTTTAGCAGATTCAAATGGCCTTCCAACAAACAATAAATCTTTACTAAACATTTTCTATAACTCTGAATTGATGGATAAATGGGATGCAGATAGCTGGTGGAACGAATAACAATTGCCAGGTTTGTTGAAAACTAATGCTTGAAACAAGTGAGATTCTATTAAGCATGAGCATTCATACAAAAAGCGACAATTTCTGCAAGCCAACTAACCTTGAATAATCAGAATCAACGCTGTTTTTATCCGCATTGTTCCCATGATATGAAATTCTCTACTTACAATACAGAGAACTTTTGAACTAAAATACACTGCATCCTTTCCTGTTTATGCAATTTTAAAAACTCTATCGTTCTCTTTGGAAAAAAAAAAATTTAAGGCACTCAGTTATATTGGCAGCAATTATGATTGAGAGTATCACCTCTACAACTCAAATTAACGAGGATATATATCAGTTATTGAGGCCTCATTTACCGATAATGATTTTGAAGATTTACTATATCTGTAATCCCCGGATTGTCCGCCTGATAAACTTATGTCATTCATGAAAAATGCAGGTTTCATGGGTTCTTGAAGTGAGAAAGAGTGGCTGCTAAGCATAAGCACAAGGGAAGCCAAGGTTGGTCTGTCAGCAGCTTTTTCTTGAACACACAGTAAACCAATCTGAAGGCATCTCATTATTTCATTTCTTGAACCATCTTTTAACGTGGGATCTATAATGTTAGAGGCTATCCCTTTCCTCCAGCTTTTCCATGCCTGCAACAAATTGCTCAATTTTGGTAAGTGTTAGTCCGAAACTCTTAATTTATGTTTCATGCAGACCAATAAAGATTAATTTCCTAAACTCTTAAGAATTTCAAAGCCAAGGAGGAATAAATAGTGAAAAGCCTGAAAATATACCAAACTTGGTAGATGCTCTACATTCTCCATGTTATGAATGCCACCATTCTTCTGGCCACTCACAATCTCTAGAATTAGTACACCAAAACTAAAAACATCGGACTTTGTTGAGAATCTCCCATGTCTTGCATACTCTGGTGCCATATACCCACTACATGTCAAAGTAATCAAATACAATATGTAACACTTCTCTTGACTATCATATTCAAGTGTTTCTTTTGCTTGGTCTAGGACAATTAGAAACTAATTAAATATGACATGTTTTGATACTTACTAGGTCCCCACAACTCTGTTTGTATTGGCTTGGGTTTGATCAATAATAACTAGTCTTGCCATACCAAAATCTGATATTTTAGGATTCATCTCCATATCTAAGAGAATATTACTTGCTTTAAGGTCACGGTGAATAATTCGTTGTTGAGATTCTTCATGAAGGTAAAGAAGGCCTCGAGCAATTCCTTCTATAATTTTATAGCGTGTTTCCCATCTCAATTGTGCACGTCTAATTGGATCTATATCACAATCCAAGATATAATCAAATAAAGTAGAGTCAGGATATTTGCTCATTTATTCTTGCAACAAAGCGTAATGAATTTCATTTTCTATGCAGAAATAGAATGTCTAACTTACCAAATATAAAGTGATCAAGACTTTTATTAGGAAGAAGCTCATATACGAGAAGCCGTTCCTTTTGTTTCAAACAAAAACCGAGGAGTCTAACCAAATTTCGGTGTTGAAGCCTGACCATTACTTGCACTTCATTCTTAAATTCAATGTCTCCTTGCCCAGAATCCCCAGCCAACCTTTTTACTGCAATCTCTTTTCCACTGGAGAGTTTGCCCTGAAAGTTGGACAACAAGCATCAAAATTTGACCAGGGGTGCTGTGTTAGAAATACTGTGAGTTTTATATCTGTCTACCTTGTAAACTGGTCCAAATCCTCCTTGTCCAAGCTTGTTTTCATCAGAGAAGTTATTTGTAGCAACTTTGATGGTGTCAAATTCGAATTGTATTGACTCAGTAACATCAATTGAATCATGATCCCCAATCTCACCTGGGCAAAATGAGTTTAAGCCATTTCCTTAAGATGGTGTTGAATCAAAGCTGTAACTTCTACAGAACAAATGCCTTAAAAAAGTCACAAGAAATTTAATAAGTTTGTATTTGCTCGACCTTGTTAGGCCGTTAGCAATATTCCTACGTGTACTTACTTGGAAATTTCCTTCCTTGCCTTCTCACTCTTACACAGATCCAAACACAGATAAGCAACCCAACCAATGCAGAAGTTGGCACAACAATGGCAATGATGGTTTGTGATTCCTTTCCTGGAAAAAGAAAATCCCTGTTTATCAAGAGAGATAATGGAAAAGAATGTTGATTTTGAAGCCTCGCTCACCCTCTAGCTATCTGCTAAAAACAACCTATTCCTCCCAGCTGGAATGGGAAATCCCAAGAAAGGGGAAGTTTTGGAGGCTTAACTCCTAATGAAAGTACCTTCTGAGGATGTTGTATCTGCATATGGAGGAGGTGATGAAGATGTTGTGTTGGTGGATGGAAGTGATGGAGGCGTAAGCAGAGGAGGGGGAGGGGGAGACAATAGTGGTGACGGAGCTGATAAAGGTACATCAGCTGTAATTGCATAGAAGCGGCTACTTTCATATCTAAAGTTACAAATGGGTGTAACAACCCTACCACCCGGCCTGTCATTACAGCAAACTGGAATCTGTGAGATGGCCCAAAGCAAGCAGTTATTGCATTCTGACTCGTTCAGATTAGGTGTGCACTGAACAACAGCATATATATTTTGAAGGTCAGGTCCTTCTTCATTTCCTGCAGCAAACTTCAGACTGGAGTCACCAGATGCAGCTCTGCTACTTAGATTTCGCAGCAAACCAGTAAGGACCTGATTATACTGATTCCAACTTTTTGCAAAGTTTACGTTCCACATGTAGACTGTAACAATAGGATCCACCCGATTGCCTAGTATGGAAGTGTCTGAATAAGATAACATGCACTCATCGTACATCCCAAAAGCTTGCTTCTGATTTGGACATAGCTGTGGCAGCAGAACTGATGAATTTTTGAGGCAGCTACGGCAAAGTTCTGGCATAACATCTCCCCTGCATAACCCAACTGCATATATTGTATTTGGGTAACTACCATAAGAGAGATTGTAGAAGCCATAATCTATTTGTTTGTTGGAAGTGAGGTTTGATAAAAGGGTATTGAGGTTGGTCTGGTAGGTGCTACTTGCTGTTTTGCTGCTGCTGCAATAATGGTATCGTAATTCTGGCTGGCTGATGGCTTCATATAAAAATTGAGTGATAAGAACACAGAGAAATTGAAGCAATGCTAAATAAGCTCTGGCCATTGAACTTTGTCAAGGTGTTATAGCATTCGGAGAAGGTTTGAAGTCTAAAGCCTTCAGCTCTGCTTCATGGGTTTCTTATCCCGTTTCGCTCTGTGAGGTTGTTGTTGTAAAGTACTCATCAATCTCATTAATAATATCAATATCATCCACAGAGTTGACTTGACTTAGATATGGGTAAATTTCAAAGTCAGCTTTATCGTCTTTGAAATTTGTCACGCGTAAATGGTCTTTTCTTATTAGAGCCACATTTTTGAGATTTTCTGATGCCAAGGTACAATTTTTCTATGACTCTGTCTTACTGCAGCGCCAATCATCAGCATCATAACACACTATTTAACAAGTCATAAATGTTCTACTCCGGTCCTAAATACAAAACCTATTTTGTAGTGTAATTTACACTATAAAATGAGTTTTATATTTAAGACCAGAAGAGTATAATTTATTTATCAAACTCGAGATAAAAGATATTAAAAGGGGGACAGAAAGTACGTAGTTTTTGGGTCAACAATCTATTAATGGGTATTATTGACTATTGTAGATTGACTTCTCTAGTTGTCCGTCATCCCCAAAGTGCAGGTTGTGAAAGTGAATATTGGAATATCCAGGCTGCAGGGAACCTTCCCTGCGTAATAACGTCTATAAAACGAAAAATTTTGGTGCGCCGTCGGTAAAATTTCTTCAACGCAGGGCAGGCATTTTCATATAAATTTTACCAATAAACATCTTTTGCACTCTAAAAAATGAATTTATATAATATATATTAATAAGGAATACATACAAATACAAAAATGACAAACATATATATTTCACAGACGTTTCTAGTTTTTAAATGTATAAATATAGGGTTAGTAGACGCAATATTGCCAATAAGACGGATTGGTAAAATTGAAAGATGATTTTCTATGTAAGTAAATGAAAGGATGAAGGTTCATAGTTCATAATACCTTTTTCTTTAATATAAAATCTATTTAATTAATTTAGATAAATTAAGTAAACAAGTTAACTTAGTTATTTGTCAAAAAAATAAGTTGTTTACTTAAAATACCCTCTTAAATCATCTGGATTGAAACTACTTGCAAACTCTTTTAACATGTGAAATTAGTAGAGACATTTTTTTAAAAATGACAAGTATGAAGAACAAAATAGTTAAGATGAAATCCTCTTATTCTATTAAAAAAAATCCTGTTTCATTAGTAGTATTTTATATATATATATATATCTGTGTGTGTGTGTATAAGTAATACTCTGTTTTATTCTTAATATGCGTGCTATTAAATAAATTTGATAAGTATAGAAAATAAAATAGATTAAGAACTCATGTTTAGAACTAATTCCAATTTCAATAACCTCGTGTGCCCGATTTCCAGGGACGAAAGTAATATATGTTAATCGACCACTCGGAATCCTCTTATTCTATAAAAAATACTCTGTTTCATTAGTAGGATGTTATATATGTATATATGTATAAGCAAAATACTCTGTTTTATTCTTAATATACGTACTATTGAATAAATTTGAATAAATTAAAAAAACAATTGTATAAAAAAAATTAAATAAATTAGTTAACTATAACAAATGTAACATAATCTCTTTAAAATACCTCTCAACAATATAACATTATATATCAGTTTGTAAATTAAATTTTATAGACATATATTTAGGACTAAATTTAACTTTTTAATTAGATCTTATAGCAACTGTAATATTTTGAAAAGCATGACCTGAATGCTTTGCCAGGGAAGGAGCCAGTCGACACAGGAGAACTCAATATCTATCGATAGTCTGTATGAGCACTTCATTGACTTTGGCAGATTCAAATGGCCTTACAACAAATAATAAATCTTTACTAAATGTTTTCTATAACTCTGAATTGCTGGACAAATGGGACGCAGATAGCTTGTGGAACGAATAACAATTGCTAGGTTTGTTGAAAATTAATGCTTGAAACAAGTAAGATTCTATTAAGCATAAGCATTCATACAAAAAGCGACAATTTCTGCAAGTCAACTAACCTTGAATAACCAGAATCAATGCTGTTTTTATCCGCATTGTTCCCATGATATGAAATTCTCTACTTACAATACAGAAAACTTTTGAACTAAAATACATTGCATCCTTTCCTGTTTATGCAATTCAAAAAGCTCTATCATTCTCTTTTTTTTTTGGGGGGGGGGGTTTAATGCACTCAGTTATATTGGCAGCAATTATGATTGAGAGTATCACCTCTACAAGTCAAATTACCGGGGATATATATCAGTTATTGAAGCCTCATTTATTGATAATGATTTTGCAGATTTATTATATCTGTAATCCCCAGATTGTCTGTCTGATAAACTTGTGTCATTCATAAAAAATGCAGGTTTCATGGGTTCGTGAAGTGAGAAAGAGTGGCTGCTCAGCATAAGCACAAGGGAAGCCAGGGGTGGTCTCTCAGCAGCTTTTTCTTGAACACACAGTAAACCAATGTGAAGGCATCTCATTATTTCATTTCTTGAACCACTTTTTAACATGGGATCTATAATCTTAGAGGCTATCCCTTTCCTCCAGCTTTTCCATGCCTGCAACAAATTGCTCAATTTTGGTAAGTATTAGTTCGAAACTTCTATGTTTCATGCAGACCAATAAAGATTAATTTCCTAAACTCTTAAGAATTTCAAAGCCAAGGAGGAATAAATAGTGAAAAGCCTGAAAATGTACCAAACTTGGTAGATGCTCTACATTCTCCATGTTATGAATGCCACCATTCTTCTGGCCACTCACAATCTCTAGAATTAGTACACCAAAACTAAAAACATCGGACTTTGTTGAGAATCTCCCATGTCTTGCATACTCTGGTGCCATATACCCACTACATGTCAAAGTAATCAAATACAATATGTAACACTTCTCTTGACTATCATATTCAAGTGTTTCTTTTGCTTGGTCTAGGACAATTAGAAACTAATTAAATATGACATGTTTTGATACTTACTAGGTCCCCACAACTCTATTTGTATTGGCTTGGGTTTGATCAATAATAACTAGTCTTGCGATACCAAAATCTGATATTTTAAGATTCATCTCCGTATCTAAGAGAATATTACTTGCTTTAAGGTCACGATGAATAATTCGTTGTTGAGATTCTTCATGAAGGTAAAGAAGGCCTCGAGCAATTCCTTCTATAATTTTATAGCGTGTTTCCCATCTCAATTGTGCACGTCTAATTGGATTTATATCACAATGCAAGATATAATCAAATAAAGTAGAGTCAGGATATTTGCTCATTTATTCTTGCAACAAAGCGTAATGAATTTCATTTTCTATGCAGAAATAGAATGTCTAACTTACCAAATATAAAGTGATCAAGACTTTTATTAGGAAGAAGCTCATATACTAGAAGCCGTTCCTTTTCTTTCAAACAAAAACCGAGGAGTCTAACCAAATTTCGGTGTTGAAGCTTGACCATTACTTGTACTTCATTCTTAAATTCAACGTCCCCTTGCCCAGAATTCGTAGACAACCTTTTTACAGCAACCTCTTTTCCACTGGAGAGCTTGCCCTGAAAATTGAACAACAAGTATCAAAATTTGACCGGGGGTGCTATGTTCATAATACTGAGTGTTATATCTATCTACCTCGTAAACTGGTCCAAATCCTCCTTGTCCAAGCTTGTTTTCATCAGAGAAGTTATTTGTAGCAACTTTGATGGTGTCAAATTCGAACTGTATTGACTCAGTGACGTCAATTGAATCATCAGCGTCAATCTCACCTGGGCAAAATATGTTTATAAGCCATTACCTTAGATGGTGTTTAATCAAAGATGTAAGTTCTACCGAACAAAGGCCTTGAAAAAGCCACAAGAAATTTAATAAATTTTGACTTCGCTCAACATTGTCAGGCTGTTAGCAATATGTCAACGTGTACTTACTTGGTAATTTTCTTCCTTGGTTTCTCACTCTCACACAAATCCAAACACAGATAAGCAACACAACAAATGCAGAAGTTGGCACAACAATGGCAATGACAGTTTGTGATTTCTTTCCTGGAAAAATAAAATCCCCGTTCATTAAGAGAGATAATAGAAAAGAATGTTGATTTTGAAGCCTTACTTATCTGCTAAAAACCACCCGTTCCTCCCAGCTAGAATGTGAAATCTCAACAAAGGGGAAGTTTTGGGGGCTTAAATGTTAATGAAAGTACCTTCTGAGGATGTTGTATCTGCATATGGAGGAGGTGATGAAGATGTTGTGTTGGTGGATGGAAGTGATGGAGGTGTAAGCAGAGGAGGGAGAGGGGGAGACGGTAGCGGTGACGGAGCTGATAAGGGTACATCAGCTGTAATTGCATAGAAGCGGCTACTTTCATATCTAAAGTTACAAATGGGTGTAATAACCCTACCTCCTGGCCTATCCTTACAGCAATCTGGAATTTTTGAGATGGCCCAAAGCAGGCAGGCATTGCATTCTGACTCGTTCAAATTAGGTGTGCACTGAACAACAGCATATATATGTTGAAGGTCAGGTCCTTCTTCATTTCCTGCAGCAAACTTCAGACTGGAGTCACCAGATGCAGCTCTGCTACTTAGATTTCGCAGCAAACCAGTAAGGACCTGATTATACTGATTCCAACTTTTCGCAGAGTTTACGTTCCACATGTAGACTGTAACAGTAAGATCCACCCGATTGCCTACTATGGAAGTGTCTGAATAAGATAACATGCACTCATCGTACATCCCAAAAGCTTGCTTCTGATTTGGACATAGCTGTGGCAGCAGAACTGATGAATTTTTGAGGCAGCCACGGCAAAAGTCTGGCATAACATCTCCCCTGCATAACCCAACTGCATATATTGTATTTGGGTAACTACCATAAGAGAGATTGTAGAAGCCATAATCTATTTGTTTGTTGGAAGTGAGGTTTGATAAAAGGGTATTGAGGTTGTTCTGGTAGGTGCTATTTGCTGTGTTGCTGCTGTTGCTACAATAATAATCCTGAAATTCTGGTTGGCTGCTGGCTCCACATAATAATTGAGTGATAAGTACAAAGAGAAATTGAAGCAATGCTAAATAAGCTCCAGCCATTGAACTTTGTCGGGGTATTATAGCATTCAGGGAAGGTTTAAAGTCTAAAGCCTTCAGCTCTGTTTCGTACGTTTCTTATTTTGTTTTGCTCTGTGAGGTTTTTGTTGTAAAGTACTCATCCCCAGAGTTGACTTGACTTAATTATGGGTAAATTTCAAAGGTAGATTTATTGTCTTTGAAAGTTGTTGTCTTTGAAATTTGTCACGCGTTAATGGTCTTTTCTTATTAGAGCCACATTTTGACATTTTCTGATGCCAAGATACAATTTTTCAATGACTCTGTCTTACTGCAGCGCCAACCATTAGCATCATAACACACTTATTTCCAAGTCATAAATGTTATAATTTATTCTTCAAACTCGAAATAAAGAATATTAAAAGGGGGACAAAAAGTACCTATTTCTTGGTTCAACAATCTATTAATGGGTATTATTGACTGTGGTAGATTGACTTCTCTAGTTCTCTGTCATCCCTAAATTGCAGGTTGTGAAAGTGAATATTGAAATATGCAGGCTGCAGGGAACCTTCCCTGCGTAATGACGTCTATAAAACGAAAAATTTTGGTGCACCGTCAATAAAATTTCTTCAACGCAGGGCAGGCATTTTCATATAAGTTTGACCAGTCAAGATCTTTCATACTCTAAAAAATGAATTTATATAATATATATTAATAAGGAATATATACAAATACAAAAATGACATCTATATATTTCACAGACATTTCTATTTTTTAAAATGTATAAATAAAGAGCTGGTAGACACAATATTGCAAATAAGACGGATTGGTAAAATTGAAAGATGAGTTTCAACGTAAGTAGATGAATGGATGAAGGTTCACAGTTCATACTACCTTTTTCTTTAATATAAAATATGTTTAATTAATTTAGGTAAATTAAGTAAACAAGTTAAATTAGTTATTTGTCAAAAAAAATATATGTTATTTCCTTAAAATATCTTCTTAAATTATCTGGATTGAAACTACTTGCAAACTTTTTTAACATGTGTAATTAGTAGATATATTTTAAAAAATGATAAGTATGAAAAATAAAATAGATTAAGATTTCATATTATGAACCAATTTCAATTTCAACCACCTCTTATGCTAGATTGCTAGGGACCGAAAGTAATATATGTTAATCGGCTACTCGGAATCCTCTTATTCTGTAAAAAATACTCTGTTTCATTAGTAGGATATTATATATGTATAAGTAAAATACTCTGTTTTATTCTTAATATAAGTACTATTGAATAAATTTGAATGACTTAAAAAAATTAATTGTATGAAAATTAATTAATTATAACAAGTGTCACATAATCTCTTTAAAATACCTCTCAACAATATTAAATTATATATCAGTTTATAAGTTAAGTTTTATAGTCATATATTTAGGGCCAAATTTAACTTTCCAACTAGATTTTATGGCAACTGTAATATTTTGAAAAGCATGTCATGAATACTTTATCATTGAAAGACTTGCTGGGCATTTGCTGGGGCTACATCTATCATCGGTCATCTCTTTCGGGTATAAATTAAAGTGTCATCAGCACACGTTGCCCTTTATATCTTCAGTAACCTCTTCAGCTTTTATTGTTAGTTTAGCTCACGAGTACATGAGAGTATGACTCATTCTATGAAAATCCCCATTTCCCCATTTGCAAGCGAACTGATTTAATGTAATTGGTCTCCCCTCTTGGCCCACTCTTAAAGGATTGTAGTGAAAACTTCTGCACTAATATTTTGGTTAGCTGAGATGAGATTTTAACTACTACTATTTCCGGTTTTTAATATAAAAACTAATATGACATTCAATTTAGTTTTAAATATAAGACCATCATTTTACTCTTTCTCTTATATTTATCCATTTTTTTTTCAAAATAATCCTTATAATACTTACACATGTTAGAGTTTTTATCAAATACTAATTCTAGCTAATACACATGATTAGTAAGAATATTTTTTAAAAAATAACACATATTATTACAAATAACTAAATTAATTTTGTTAATTTAATCAAATTGGTTAACTAGCTCTTATATTAAAGATAAGAAATAATACTATAACACAAGGGAACTCAATGTCTCGTATGGGCTTTTCATTGACTTTGGCAGGTTCAACTGGCCTTCCAACAAACAATAAATCTCTACTAAACATTAGCTACAGTTCTGAATTGATGTATAAATGGGATGCAGATAGCTCGTGGAACAAACACCATTGGAAATCAATGCTTGAAACAAGTGAGATGAGTAGGTTGCTGAGATGACACAGAGGTAGATTTTTCAGAAGACTCTGTGTTTCTTATTAATCAGAATCACTACTGTTTTTATCCGTATTGGTCCCATGATGTGACATTCCCTACTTACAATACAGAGAACTTCCGAATTAAAATACATTGCAATTGTTTTCCTGTTTATGCAATTCAAAAAATTCTATCATTTTCTTCAACAAAAAAAGCACTTAGTTATATTGGCAGAATAACTCATACGCTAGCAATTATGATCAAGAGTGTCACCTCTACAGCTCAAGTTATCGAGGATATATATCAGTTATTGAGGCCTCATTCACTGATAATGATTCTGCAGATTTACTATTTTTCTTGCTGGAGCTTGTTGACACAGCTCTGTAATCCCTTGAGTTTCTGCCAGATAAACTTGTGTCATTCATAAAAAATGCAGGTTTCATGGGTTCTTGAAGTGAGAAGGAGTGGCTGCTGAGCATAAGCACAAGGGAAGCCAAGGTTGGTCTGTCTGCAGCTTTTTCTTGAACACATAGTAAACCAATGTGAAGGCATCTCATTATTTCATTTCTTGAACCATCTCTTAACGTGGGATCTATAATGTTAGAGGCTTTGCCTTTCCTCCAGCTTTTCCATGCCTGCAACAAATTGCTCAATTTTGGTAAGTATTAGTCCGAAACTTTTAATTTATGTTTCATGCAGACCAATAATGACTAATTTCCTAAACTCTTTCAAAGCCAAGGAGGATAAATAGTGAAAAGGCTGAAAACGTACCAAACTTGGTAGATGCTCTACATTCTCCAAATTATGAAAGCCACCATTCTTCTGGCCACTCACAATCTCTAGAATCAATACACCAAAACTGAAGACATCAGACTTTGTTGAGAATCTTCCATGTCTTGCATACTCTGGCGCCATATACCCACTGCATGTCAAAGTAATCAAATACAGTATGTAACATTTCTCTTGACTGTCATATTCAAGTTTTCTTCTGTTTGGTCTAGGACAGTTAGAAACTAATTAGACATGCCATGTTTTGATACTTACTAGGTTCCCGCAACTCTGTCTGTGTTGGCTTGAGTTTGATCTGTAACAAATAATCTTGCCATGCCAAAATCTGAAATCTTAGGATTCATATCCGCATCTAAGAGAATATTACTTGTTTTAAGATCACGATGAACAATTCGTTGTTGAGATTCTTCATGAAGGTAAAGAAGGCCACTTGCAATTCCTCCAATAATTTTGTAACGTGTTTTCCATCTTAGTTGTGCACGTCTAATAGGATCTATATCTCAATCCAAGACATAATCATATAAAGTAGAGTCAGAGTATTTACTCATTTATTTTTGCAACATAGGGTAATGAATTTCATTTTTCATGTAGAAATAGAATGTCTAACTTACCAAATAAAAAGTGATCGAGACTTTTATTAGGAAGAAGCTCATATACTAGAAGTCGTTCCTTTTGTTTCAAACAAAAACCAAGGAGTCTAACTAAATTTCGGTGTTGAAGCCTGACCATTAATTGTACTTCATTCTTAAATTCAATATCCCCTTGTCCAGAATTACTAGACAACCTTTTTACTGCTATCTCTTTCCCTTCGAAGAGCATGCCCTGAAAGTTGGACAACAAGTATCAAGATTTGACCACGGGTGCTGTGTTCATAATTTTGTGAGTGTTGTATCTGTCTACCTTGTAAACTGGTCCAAATCCTCCTTGTCCAAGCTTGTTTTCATCAGAGAAGTTATTTGTAGCAACTTTGATGGTGTCAAATTCAAATTGTATTGACTCCTCAGTAAGTTCGGTTGAATCATCTGCTTCAGTCTCACCAAGGCAAAATGAGTTTAAGCCATTTCGTTTGCTGGTATTTAATTAAGCTGTAAGTAAGTTCTGCAGAACAGACTCCTTAGAAAAGTGACAAGAAATTTAATAAATTCTCACTTTGCTCAACTTTGTCATGCTGTTAGCAATAATTCAGTCGTGTACTTACTTGGAGATTTCCTTCCTTGCTTTCTCACTCTTACACAGATCCAAGCAAAGATAAGCAGCATAACCATTGCAGAAGTTGACACAACAAGGGCAATGATAGTTTGTGATTTCTTTCCTGGAAAAAGAAAATCCCTGTTCATTAAGAGAGATAATAGAAAAGAATGTTGATTTTGAAGCCTTATCCTCTAGTCATCTGCTAAAAACGACCTATTCCTCCCAGATGGAATGGGAAATCCCAACAAAGGGGAAGTTTTGGATGTTTAACTGCTACTGAAAGTACCTTTCGAGGATCTTGTGGCGGCAGATGGAGGAGGTGATGAAAAGGTTGTGTTGGTGGATGGGGGAGGAGACAGTAGGGTCGGCGGAGCTGAAAAAGTTACATCAGCTGTAATTGCATAGAAGCGGCCACTTTCATATCTTAAGTTACAATTGGGTACAATAACTCTACCACCTAGCCTATCTTTACCGCGCTCTGGAATTTTTGAGATGGCCCAAAGCAAGCAGCTTTTGCATTCTGACTCGCTCAAATTAGGCGTGCACTGAACAACAGCATATATGGTTTGAAGGTTAGGTCCTTCTTCATGTCCTGCAGCAAATTTTAGACTGGAGTCACCAGAAGCAGCTATGCTACTTAAAGTCCGCAGCAAACTCATAAGAACCTGATTGTACTGATTCCAATTTCTTGCCAAGTGTTCGTCCCACATATAGAAGACTACCGCGTTGTCTAATATTGAAGTGTTTGAGTAAGATAACATGCACTCGTCTAACATCCCAAAAGCTTGCTTCTGATCTGGACAAAGCTGTGGCAGCAGGAATGATGAAATTTTGAGGCAGCTACGGCAAAAGTCTGGCGTAACATCTCCCCTGCATAACCCAACTCAATAGACCGTGTTTGGGTAATTACCATAAGATAGATTGTAAAAGCCATAATCTATTTGTTTGTTGGAAGTGAGATTTGATAAAAGGGTATTGCGGTTGGTCTGGTAGGTGCTATTTGCTGTTTTGCTGCTGTTATTGCAATAATACTTTTGTAATTCTGGCTGGCTGGTGGCTTCATATAATTGACTTGTAAGAACACACAGAAATTGAAGCAATGCTAAATAAGCTCTAACCATTGAAATTTGTCAGAGTATTGTAGCATTCTGGGAAGGTTTAAAGTTTAAACTCTGCAGATCTGTTCCATAGATTTCTTAGCTTGTTTCACTCTGTGACATTTTCTGATGGCAAAACACGGTTTTCTTTTCCATGACTGTCTTACTGCATAAAATGTCCCGGTCAAGCAAGAAGCGGCGTGTGCGTGTCTAATCATCTCAATCTTTACACTGTAACACGCTATTTAACAAAAACATTTTTTTTTCATGGATGAAATTAAGGGTGCGTTTGGATTGTAGAAGGGGCAGGGGAGGGATATTTAACAATGCTTTGTTTGGTTTCTGGGAGGTGGTGAATTTACCATCAAACCCTTAAATATTTTATTTTACACTTCCATGCTATATAAATTAATCTACAGCTTAGTTCAAAGTGTGTAATTTATAAAATTCACTCTTATTTTAACATGTTATAATAAAATTTTTAATCTCTAATTGATATAATAATATATTTAAAAAAATCAAATTAACAAATTTCGTTCATCTTTACCAAGTGCTTTATTAATAATCAAATTAAAAAATCAAGTGATTTATCATCTTCAACACTTTTACCATGAAAGCATATGAAGTGAAGCATTTGAGTATTTATTTTATTTTTTCCTCCAATGACATTTATAGAGTATCATAAAGTCCATGCCGTAAATTAGTCAATACATTTGGCTTCTCCCTAAAAACTCTCAATTTGATAGTAACCAAAATAAAGATAGAGGAGGAGAGGAAAGGAGAAATTCCGGCTCCCATTTGTTCCAAAGTTTCTAACCAAACAAGGAGAGGAAATAATTTCCTGAGAAAAATGATACTGAAGTCTCATTGAACACAAAATACTATAAAAAGATCTCAAAAAACTTAGTAATGAACCTAAAGTTTCAAATAGACTTAAGTGCAATTTAATAAAGTGTCAAAGTTACTAAAAGTTGCCCTATTTTTTAATTTGAAAATTGACACTCTATATACAGAAAGCAAGAGAAAAAAAAAAAAAAAATCTAAACTTCATTATATTTCTTCCCCATTCCGATATGAAAATCTCATCCACTCTACTCATGTGTCAATCATTAGCAAAAATCGCTCGTATTTTTTGTTTGGTGTGTGTTTGGTCATTTAAATTAGAGTTTTATTATGGATAGGCAAGGTGATGATGGGTGTTTTGTTTCTAGGTATATTGTAGGTGGGTTGAAGGTGAGCTTGCTCTGTGTGGGCATAATTCAATGAGAATTAATGAGAAAGATGAAAGTTAGTGTGGCTAGAAACCTTTATTACAAACTAGAAAAATATGCTTTCAGTATGGGTTGCGATAGTTGTCAATATAGCTTTTTAACTTGTCAATGATAACTATGCTATACAGGTTTACATTAATTGGTTTTTTTTTAAAATTTTAACACAAATTCTATGCCCTTAACTCATTGGTAGGGGTTTACAAAAGGAGGAATAAGAGGTAATGAAGAAAGATAAGCAGCCACGTGAGGCAAAAGAAGAAAAATGGAGAAAAATAGCCACTTTGAACATAGACAAATGATGGCAAAAGAATTTCTTTTTTTTTTTTTGGGTAAATAGAAGTGACATGAATTTTTTTTGTAATGTTACAATACACACCAACAGCTAGCCTGATATTGGATATCTACAATTTTGTGTTTTTTCAATGGGTTATGAAATTAGTGTAATTATATGTATATAAATTTATAAATAAAAATTATCTGTATATTACATTCTAATGCATAATTAATTGTCATTATCTGTACCCTTCATTGTCAATATACCCTTCATCACTTCTTACTCGTTGCACTATTAGTTGTTAATTAATACTGATATAAATTTGAAAAAAAATGTGATTTTACATTACATAATATTGTACAATGTCATACAGTGTTACTAATTCCTCAAAACTAATTCATGTTTTTATAATGTGATATAGAATCGTTATTAAAAGTCAATCATCACTAATATAAAATTATGAAATCATTTATCATTAATGACACATTCACTTGTTGCTGGTGACATTATATTTATCAATGACATCATTGTGAATCCTCTTAAGTTTTGAAGAAAATGTCATTTAATTAACATAAATTTTAGTAATATATTCTGATTATTATGTGATATAAGATGATATAATAATTCTATTTTAAATGAAATATAATAGAATTGCAAATGTGAGTCAATGTTCCTTGTGTTAATTGTCAATATCCGTATCTTAACTTGTTAATAATGATACTATAACTTGACAATTTTTCTGCTAATATATTAAAAATAAACAATATAACCCCAAGAGGACATGAACATCACAAGAATTATTTTGAAAAAAATTCAATATGTTAGGATCAAGTAGTTCTTATCATAAACCACAGCAAGCAAAGTAACTTAGGCCAGCAAAAAAAAAAAAAAACTCATGTATCAATATAGATATTATATAACTTGACCTCACATTTTTTTAAAAATTTATATCAGTAAATAAATTAACAACTGATAGAGCAATCATCAACAAGTCATACTGAAACTGTAAACAAGTGAATATGTTGTTCATGACAAGTAATTTCATAATTTCATCTAAGTGATTATTAACTTTTAATAACAATTTTATATTACATTATAACCGGAATGTATTAATTGAAAAGAACTGATGATATTATACGATGTCGTATGATATTATATAACTTGAAATCACATTTTTTCAAATTTATATTAGGACATAAATTGAAAACTAATACTGTAATGAGTGACAAGTGATAAAAGATGTATTGATAATGAAGGGTACAAACAATGACAACTAATTATGCATCAGAATGTAATATATAGTCAACTTTTATTTACAACATCATACATATATTTTATTTACAACTTCATACATATATAATTACACTAATTTCACAATTCACTAAAAAAAATACAATTTCATGTATCTAATATCAAACTATTGTGTGACATTTACCAAAAAAAAATTATGTCACTTCTATTTACAAAAAAAAAAAAATTCTTTTGCCATCATTTGTGTAGATTCAAAGTGGCTGTTGTTTTTTTTTGTTGCTATTTTTCTTCTTTTGCCTCATGTGGCTACTCACTCTACTTCATTGCCTCCTCTTCCTCCGTTTATAATGTCCACCAATGAGTCAAGAGCATAGAAAGTCATGGCTCTTGTGTCAAAAATTTAACAAAACCAGTTAATATAAATTTGCACAACACATTTATCACTGAGAAGAGTTATATTAATAACTATCGCAACTTATATTGACAGCATATTTTTCTATTTTGCAGTAACAGTTTCTAGCCACACTAACTTTTATATTTCACATCAATTTTCATTGAACCATGCCTAGACAAAGCAAGTCTACCTTCAACCCCCACAATATGCTTAGAAACAAAACACCGATCATCACCTTATCTACTCATAATAAAATCTCAACTTAAATGACCAAACACACATCAACTAAAAATATAAGCAATTTTTGCCAATAGTTGACATGAATGGAGTGGATGAGATTTTCATATATGAATTGGAAAAGAAACATAATTAAGTTTGGACTTTTCTCGTCTTCCTACATATAGTGTCAATTTTCAGATTGAAAAATAAGGCAATTTTCAATAGCGTTGAGTGCACCTAACTCGGGGTAGAGATGTCTTTTCACACCTCACTAAATTGATTTCAGATTCATTATCAAGTTTTTGAGGATTTTTTACAATATTTTATATTCAATGAGACCCTAGTGTCGTTCTTTCTACTTTTCCTCTCGCACCCTCTTCTCAAACCCATCACAGCTACCGGAGACTAACGAGTATTGAGACATCTGGTGGTCAATCTTCTACTTCAGGGAAGGTTAAATGCGACAGAAGCTGTTGAAGACCGACTCCATTGTTGAAGACCCTGAATTACGGTACGCCCGACGTATACGTACCAATTTGTCCTTTTCCTTTAGTTTGACACAAATAATAGTCAGATTAATACTTTAATTTCTCAAATTTATCTTTATTTTAATTTTAATTTTTTAAATTTTAAACCATTTAGACTTTTTAGAAGTAAGATAGTTCATATTTTTATTATGTTATAAGGATCAATATTTTAAATAAAGAGAAATTTGAGAGAATAAAATTAAAATGAGAACAAATTTTAAAAAATAAAAAATTATATTAACCCATTATAAAATATAATGATTCTTTTTTCTTTTTTATTTTTTTATTAAATATCAGATCGCTTTTCGTCGACCGTTTCATACTGCACAAGGACATGTGTCCTAGTCAAGCAATAATACGCCTGCCTAGTTTACAAGAGGAAGAGAAAATGTCTTGCAGGCCTTTTTGGCATTACGTACGGTAATGTCATCTTGCCAGAAGCCGCATTGCTTTTCATGGAAAATTTCATTACAGGACAATTTTTGTGATTTTATTTCAATTCAATTCAGCTCGAAAAGATTATGAAGTTTCATTGCAGTATTAGGACGAAAGTGAAATGATGTTTTGATGCTAAATGATCAAAATATCATTTATTGATACAGACTTTTGCAAATTTTATTATTGCTAATTGTTACCACTGCAAAAAATTTACTTATCACTTGTAATTTATTTTTGTAAATTTACATATATATTGAATAAAAATACGGAATTGATGAAAAAAGAAATATTGAATATCAAACCAATTCATCTGTTTAGAAAAAATCATAAACAGTTTAATATGTATCAGACCTGAGGCTTT